GTGCCTTAATTGTTTAAGTCTCTGGCTTCAAAGATTTTTGGAAGAGTAGGCTCGCCTCACAGTTTTGTGTTTCCATTATTAATGTTTTAGGTACTTCACAGAATGTATTGTGGTGCTATGGCTGTTAGTATTTAGTGGGTGCTGTAATTTTCATTTGAAAATACACAGAATTTCCATCCTCCCAAGTTGGCAAAAGTGAGCTGCAGCAGTGTAACTGTCGCTTACCTGGTTAAGCATTGGGTACCACACATTAATGTCAGCATGTATAGGAAATTTGTGGAAATCGTTGGAAGTGTCTGTGATTTAGGGCTCTTCTCTGGCAACAAAACCGTGTGAAGTTAGATTTTGCAAGTTTGCAGATGAGCTCTTGCAACAGAATTCACAGCCTTTTTTTTTTTTTTCCCTCCTTTCCTTTGAGCATCATAGTATTTTGAGCCAATAATTTTTGGGTTTTCTTAATCCAGAAGGTATATAGAAACCTTTTCAGATTTTTCATCTGATTCGTTCATGCCAATGTAGTTCTTTCAGGTACCTTATTTTTCCTTACAGATACTTTAATGTGTAGGCAGACACTGCTGTATTTAGAAGTTTCTATTTCAGTTTGTTAAAAACTTCAGAACCAATCTGTATCATGTACCAAGCTGATTTAAAATAAATCTATGTCTTTATTGGAAAAAAAAAAAAAAAAGATTTTTAATTCATGACTTTAAAATATTAAGTGCTTTTTGTTTGTTTGCTTGCTTGTTTGAGACAGGGTCTCATTATGCAGCTCAGGCTGGCCTTTGAGCTCACTTTGTAGCCCAGATCCTCCTGCCTCAGCCTCCTGAGTAGTGGAATTACAGGCATCTCAGGCATTTCTGTGCATTAAAAACTACTCCTGAGGCTTGGTTGAATACACCTATAATCACAGCATTTGGGAAACTGAAGCAGGAGGATCACTGTGATTTCAAGGCCAGCCTGGGCTATGTGAGTTCAAAGCTAGCCAGAACTACATAGCTGGACCCTGTCTCAAATAACAGCAACAACAACAACTGCTTTACATATACTCATCAACAGTGGCAGTTTCTACCTTACAGCATGCTAATACTGTTGATTTCAATTTTCATTCCTTTATTTCTGTAGTATTAGATGCAGTACTCATGTTTATAGCTATACTGGTTATAAATGATCAGTCCTTTGGGCTGTAGAACATATCTCCTTTTACTATGTGTTACTTCATGCTCTGTAAAAATCAGCCATTTAAAGAAAAATAAGCCATTTATATGTTGGGAGGTTAATGTTTAGTACTAGGAATTGGACCCAGGGCCTTCACAATGCACTACATTTTCAGCCCTTTTTTCATTTTTTTATTTTGAGACGGGGTCTCACTGATTCACTGTGTTGCCCAGGCAAGTTTTGAGGGGCTGGTGAGATGGTTCAGTGGTCCAAAGCACCTACTTAGAACAAGCTAAGCTAAGCAAAAGCACAGAGACCGCAGTTCAATCCCCAGCACCGCATGCCAGCCAGCCCCGCCCCCTGGAGGGCTGAACTGGCCACATACACACTAAATAAATAAATAAATAAATAAATCATTTAAAAAAAAAAGTTTTGAACTTGCCATCTTCCTGCCTCAGCCTTCTGGTGTGTGGAATTACAGCACACCTTGCTGTTGTAGGTTTTGATGAGTCAGATTTATTCAGACAGAAAGCACATATCCTGGTACCAAAAAAAAAGCACATGTGGGCCAGGCGTGGTGGTGCACACCTGTAATCTCAGTGCTCAGAAGATTGAGAGGCAGGAGGGTTGCCTTGAGTTTGAGGCCAGCCTGAACTACAGAGTGACACTCTGCCTCAAAAAAACAAAAGCAACAAAGCATACATGAGGTTTCTTTTTTTTTTTTTTT